CATTGATAAATAACAAACGTTTTCATCCACGGTGATGATATAACAGATGTATACAACAGAGAGGTAAATAATACAAAACAGTACCTTGGTGCCCAAATACACAATCTGTCCTGCGTAGCTCGAGACTGATTGGTAACAAGCCTTTTCTCCAACTAAAGCCTGAAACACAAACACAGAAAGTCAGTGGTGAACTCATTGATAATGCTTTCAAACACATTATTTTTATTTTATTATTTTCTTACGAATTCTGGGACCAGATCCCGAATCACAAGAATTTAGAAGATATTCAGGTTTAATTAACAGAATCTAGAAGGTAACCAGGACCTGATTCATGTAACACTTTAGGTTCAGAATCTGTTTACAGGTTTGCATGAACAGAACTCGATGTGTTCAAATCATGAACGAGTGTCTTTGTGTTTGAGTAACTATCCAAACGTCCTGTGCTGACCTGTAGAGCTACATTCACTGATATAGGCACTGCTGTGCTCGTGACGCCGAGTGAAAACCACTGAACCTCGTGTCCTGTCCATGTGCTTCCTGTTTTATTTTGATGGGGCCTGTTCTGTGTTCAGTCTGTCCCCGTGTTTTCTCTGCACCTGTCCTGGTCCCACGTCTCGTCTAGTCGATCTCGTCTCTATGTTCCCTCTGTCACCGTGTCGGTTATGTCGTAGTGTTAGCTCGTGTCTCTGAGTCTGTGCCTACGTGTCGTATCTCCTGTCTTATTTTGATAGTCTCTGTCCTACATCAGTGTTGTGTCTTCCTTCGGCTCATCATGTCCGATTTGTCTCAGCTGCGTTTCTTCCTGTTTCCATCCTCTCGTGATCCCACCTGTGTGTTTTGGTCCTCAGAGGCTCTTCGTGCTGCGTTTTCTCCCTTCGTCTTCCTGAGAGTATTCGAGCTCGCAGTCCTGCTTTGTGTTGCTCGCTCCAGTTTCTTACTCTCAGGCTCCAGTTTAGTTTCTAGTTTTGCGTTTTGTAAATGTTTATTTCTAATGTGGAGTTGTTCCCAGCAATAAAGCTGCACCTTAACTTTCACTTCCTGTTTCTGAGTCCTGCGTTCGGGTCCTTCATCCTGCCTGCCACACAGCAGTTGCCATGACAATATGTCATCATTATCAATAAAATAAAAGACAATTAAATATTCCAGAAACTTGTTATAAATCTGGTTACCTGGATACCAAATGAATGATATGGTAGGTTCATTTTTGGTTCCCAACCA